ACAATAATCTTTAAGATGCTCGTAGCTCTTCGAAATCTGTTTGCAAACATTTTAGTTCATTTTAATCCAACAGATATGAGATGTCTATGGGATACATATTATAACTATATGTCGGAAGACTTCAGGAGGAGCCATGTCAGTTCACTAAAGGTGCAGCTCTAGAGTACCTTAAAATATAAATACATACTTGAAGAGCATAGGTAAAAGTGTGGAAAAATTTGATATGCCACAAATCAAACAAAAATTGCATATAATTAAAGTGACACACATGAATGTCAAGAAATAATTAAAGAAATGTCTATGAAGGTCCAACTGAAGATATATATGCACAATTAAAGTTAATCCACAACAAGTGCAAGCTTTCAAGACCATATTGCAAAAGACCAACTCTGGAACACTATGATTTTCTTTGTAGACGGACCGAGTGAAACTAGAAAAATAATTTTTATATCAACATCGCTAGAAAAAATCAAATTGAGAGGTATGCTAGCACTGACATCCACAAACATTGGGATAGTAGCAACAATCTCACAGAGAGGTTATACAACTCACTCAAGATTTGAAATACCTTCACTAAAAAGGAATCAACAATGAAAAATATGTCAAAACGAGGTGATCGAGATAAACTAACTAGACAAGTCAAATTAATAATATAGGACGAAGCACCGATGGCTAAGAAACACACAATTGAAATGATGGATCAAAATTTTCATGAAAAAATTGACCATACTACACCTTTTGGTGGAAAGGTCATGGTATTTGAAGGTTGCTTTCGACAAGTACTACCGGTGGTTCCTAATTATGATGAGCAGAGACGGTTAATACAAGTTTGGTGAAGTCATATTTGTGGTATTAGTAGAAAAGTTTCATTTAGCATCCAATATGAGAGCAAGAGTTGATCCAAATTTTATTGACTTTTGATTCATTTTGGAAACGACGAAGAAAGCACAATAGAAGACAATTTAACACTAATGTCACAACAAATGGTGGCCCAAGCAAGTGGTGATAGTCAGCCTGAAGAATGATTAATAATAAAAATATTACCATCGCTACAACAAATCGACAGATCGACAAAATCTATAACTAAAAAGGCAATCTTAGCAAGTAAAACTGAATTTGTAAATAATCTAAATAAAATGTTGTTTACTCATTTTCCAAGGAAACTAGAACATATATTAGCTTTGACTCGGCGACAAATGATCCTAATAATTACTATAAAAAATAATACTTGAGTAAATCGACACCAAATGGTCTACCACCGCATAGGTAACATACCTATTATGTCATTAACATTGAAATCAAATTACTTGAAATAGATAAACAAGATAAAAAGATAAATGTGAGGTAAAATACAGAAAAACTGACGTATATTTACTACATATTTTGTTATCTTTGAAAGAGAATGTACCTATCATGATGATGAAGAATATGAATCCATCAAATGGTTTGTGCAAAAGAGACTCGATTGATTTGTAGAGGGTTTGAAAATAATGTCATAAATGTTGAAATAATAACGTGGACATATGTAACAAAGCAATTGTTTATACAAAGAATCCAATCATCACCACCTGAGAATGAAGGATATCCTTTTAAATTTATTCATAAGCAACTTTTAATATGTCTATGTTTTGTAATGACGATAAAAAACTCAAGTCAAACAATTCATACTATTGAATTATATTTTTTGCAACATGTTTTCTCCCATGAACATTTGTATGTAGCACTATCAAGAAAAATCTCAATGACCAAGACAAAAGTATTAGTTATAACTTAACAATCATATATGGCGACAAGGACATATACAACAAAGATTGTATTCTACGATGTATTAGGTAAGAGATTGATTGCTATCTTTTTAGCGTGATCAATTAGGAACAAAACCCACAGATTAGATGAAGCTAATGTAAATGTGATTGGTTGTATCTTATAGGTTCGATTGAAGAAGAGATGAGTTCATCATCACCGTGCAATTTATGAAGAAAATACAATTATTGTGTAGATAATTATGATACAAATGACTTGAAACTCCTGAAATGTGATTCATGTAATCATAACCAGTACCAAATGTTCCTTCGAGCAGAATTACATATTTACATCGTATTTAGAGCTTTCTCCCCAAGTTTCATGCATCTAAATCAAGCCAATTAGTCGGGCATAATAGAGTACTGTTTAGAAACTAATATTTGATTTTTGAGAAACATCTATACAAAGTATGCGCTTATATATTTAATATATTGAGTAATGGTGGAATGCATACAATTCATTATTAACTTAGGTATAAGGGTCTAGTTCAAATAATTACAACAATATATTGTGATGAATATGTATTCTTACTGTTTTACAATTTATGAATGACACGACGAGACAACCACGTGAAACGCACGTGAGGTAAATGTAAAGATTATTGATCATTTTCCCTTCATTTAATGCAAAAGTAACACTATCTAAATTACCAAAAGATGTATAAAGGTAAATATTATACTAAGAAGATAGGCCATAAAGAACAAACTATCAGATAAAAAAGACCATGTTTACACTTATTACTTTTATGTAGGAAATTTTTTAGGCCAAATGGTCTTGTATGAGTTTTTATTCTGAATCCTTCTTCTTAACCCTTTGCCATCTAAACCTCATAATCCGTCGAAACACAACATCTTCAACACTAACTTTGACTTGACATCCTATGTGGAAGTTAATATCAAAGAGCGTGTGATACACACCTATTATGAGCGTAAGACCCTTTGAAAGGGGTCTAAAAGTCACATTTGGGCTTTATAAAGCCATCATCTTCTCATTTGCATCTAACATGATCATTTTGGACAAAATTTGAGGTTTTCTGGCTTCTTTTTCGATCTTCTATCCTCAAATTTCTTCTCTTTTTTTCTCGTCATTACACTGCTCTCTATATCATGCATTTGCGTTTACTTTTTTTCTTCAATATTGGTTGATCTTGTTGTATTCTTCTTCAGAACCATGAAAAATTCAATTTTGATAGAATCCTATAATCTAATCGAAATCATAAAATATGCCATTGAAGTCATAAAACTACTACAAAAACATCATACACTAACGTTCAACACAAAACAAAATAAAATCCCAAAATAATTTCAACAAAATCAATGTAGTTCACTTAAACCCTAAGATCAAACATAGACACACATAAAAGATGAAACCTAGACTAAACGACAAATAATTTTAAAACCTATATTGATAAGTTGAAATCAAACAAATATAACAACAAAAACTTAAATAATTTCCGGCAGTTGACCCACCTGTTTTAGTTATCTACCACCCAAATGAACCATGTTTCAGTCCTAAACCAAACCGAACCTCACTTCCTTTTTCTCCTCCTTCACACCTTTTCCGATCAAACCACTTTAATTGTCATCATCACCAACAAACTTCAACCAGTAGCTATATAAGTGAGCCAACAAGAAGAAAAACAACTCCACCAATAAATCTCGACCTTTGCAATGTCGCCATCCCTAAACTTCGACGAGCTTGTGAACAAGAAGCCTACCCAATAGATCCCTACTCTTCCTCCACGCCACCAGTCACCACTTAAATCCCAACACAATAGAATACAAAATCAACTCCGATTTTTAAGAATATTGTGACTAACCATAATCATTTTGACATTTTTTCTTCAATGTAAAGAGTGGAAGAGGTCGAGAAAGAAAGATCGCAAAGAAGATGAGAGAGAGAAATAAAATGAGATTGTGATTTGTGGGAATGGGGATAACTATGGCAGAGGCAAATACAAATTGAAAAAAGAACTACATATAAAATAATCAAATATGATAAAAGAGAAGGATGACATGAAGTGGCTATATATGTACTCATCATTTTATAATCATACATATCATTTTATTATTATTTTTAATATTATGTGTCAAAAGTTTGTGATGTACACATAGTTGAGTAGGAAAATATGGGTTCAAAATGTTGTGTTTTGATGGATTAAGGGGTTTAGATGACAAATAGATAAGTAGAATAGTTCACAATACAAACTCAGACAAATACTAATGTCCATTAGATCATTTTTGCCAAAATTTAACAATGTAACTTTGCTAAATACAATTTTTATTGCCGACAACATCAATATGAAAGAAACTCACATTAAGTACACATATTTTTCGATTGGATCAATCGTAGGAAGATATATATGTATATATATATATATATATATATAGATAGATAGATAGAAAGATAGATAGAGAGAGAGACTCGTTCCACAAACACAGAGAAATCAAATACATGTTGCAACTTTTCAAAAAAGATTAATTACTAATTAAAATGGACACCACTTTAATATTTTGGAGGTAAAACCATTTATGAGTAGGTAATTTAAGGCCTCATTTGTTTGCTCTTAATGAGGGTCTGAATGTTAATCATTTAAATTCGCCTCATTAAGTGTGTTGTTTTTAAGGTTTGGATCTTAATTATTCAGATTCAATTCATTAAGACCCATATAAGCCTCTTAATGGGTCTCAATGTCTGAATGAATCAAATTTGTAACACACTCTTAACACAATTCAAACTCAAAAATAAGACACCTATCTTAATTCAACTACAACTCAACAACTCAAAAAAGTTATTTTTTAATTAATTAATTAATGTTATACATGCTTACCGTTATTATTTACTTTATTCTTATTAACTTAATATACATATTTTACTTTCATAAATTAATCAATATATTTGAATTGATATATAATGTTTAGAACGATTTCAAAAAATAAGAAAGTATTAGTTATTTGATTGATAACAATAACAGATATCTATTATACAATAAAATATTTTTCTAAACAATATATTTACTACTCTATATAAACTATTTTACATTGCATTATATTAGATGTTTATTTAGATTTACACATCTAAATTTTAATGCACGTCTTACTATTTATATATGTATTCAGGTTCAATGAGGTCTAAAAGGGTGTTTAGATAATTTAATTTAAAAATTTAAAAATTACTGCTTTTAAAACTAGACTATAGAACAATGTTGTAAACGGGGGAATTAGAATAATTTTTTATTAAACCTAAATATATTTCTAAGTAGAAGTAAAAAAAGAAAATCCAACCGCCACCTCAGGGTTGGACTGTCAGAACTCAGAGGCAAAGGTGGAAGCCATGTCCGAAAGGTGCATTTTTTGATTTTGATTTTGATTAGGGTCCAGCTGTTTGTTTTTTTCTATATCACCAATCAATCCTGCTATTGTTGTGTAATAATCCTGAACATTCTCAGGATTCTATGTTGTAATCATGGTGATTTATCAGAAACTCATCTGAATATTTCCTCGCCGTCTCGTTTTAACCTCTTAACTTTAATTGGGTGATTTTGTAGTGATTCCTAAGTTTAGCTAAAAGCTTTTTTTGGGAATCATTATGGAACAACTAATTATAGAAAGTTTTGTTTTGGCTCTTTCTTTTCCTTTTTTTTGGGTTTATGACAAATTGAACGCGCGGCTGCTACCTTTGGTGCCTTATTCGTGCAATTAATGATTATTCTTGAAGCAGGGGCCTTCATGAAATATTTTCTTATTTAATCATGGAGCACTAGATTTGGTTTTTTTTCATTTGATTGATATAGAGGATTGTATATAATAGTTTGTATCGTTTGCAAGTGGATTTCTGCTTTGGTTTATGGGAAATCATACACAATTTAATGATTGACTACTATTCTGTTTCCCTAGTCACATATGAGAATGTTTCATATGCTTGTTTACATTTTTAGCATGCTTATACGGTTTTCAACGGTTTTATTGCAAAATTAACTCAGTATATTGGTGAATGTATAGTTTGTATTACTTTGTGTTTATCGTGCTTGTGATATTTTCTGTAAATAAACTGCAAGAAACTCCGATTATATGCCATTGATGTTTGTCTTCTTTGATGGTTATAAGTAATTTCAAGGAAATTGATGGGGTTTTCATTATTATCTTGGTCATTAAATTTAAGTGGTTGTTTAAAACATTCATTGTTTGTTTATGGTGTGTATCCATATTCATTTTTAAAAAAAGAACAGCGTCCTCTTTACTGATAAGCGATATAAAAGTTAATATCTGAAGAGGTAAATTGATACTAGTTTTTATTTTACGTTAACTATCTACCTTAATATTTCCAAGGACAAAGTATATTGTTACTTTCAATTAAATCGTAATTCTATTTGTTTGATGATTCTCTTCTAGGTGGCCATTTTATTTAAATCACAATGTGCTTCTAATTTTTCTCCAGGGTTCTTTGCAAGTTCTTTGCACATGGGGCATGTCTGAAGGGGGATCATTGTGAGTTTTCACATGATTGGAACAATCCTTCTAATAATGTAACGTTCTTGACAATTTAGTTTGATGATCAAGGATTAATTGATCCTTTACTTTCTGATTGTTTTCCCTTGGATCATTGTTGCAGGTATGTACCTACTACCAAAAAGGAGCTTGTGCTTATGGAAGCAGGTGTAGATATGATCATGTTAAACTGTCTCGATCACAACCTTCAGCTCAGTCTTCAGCACAACCTCAACAATGTCTGCTTTCAAGTTCTACGCCTATCAATGTGTCTCCTGGAATGGGTGCACATAATGCAGATGTTCTGCCAGGCATTTGTACTGAGTATTTAGCTTCAAGCAGACCTTATGACGCTTCCAGCCAATCAGCATGGAACCAAAAGTCAGAGCTTCAAGATGCATTAGAGATTGATGACATGATTGAGTTAAACAGTGATAATCCAGCTGATCGGTCAATCTGTGCTTTTGCTGCTGCTGGTAATTGTCCTCGGGGAGAAAAGTGTCCTCGTGTTCATGGAGATCTGTGTCCAACCTGCGGAAAGCATTGCTTGCATCCTTTCAGGCCCGAGGAAAGAGAGGAGCATATAAAAACATGTGAGAACAAGCAAAAGCACCTTGATTTATTGAAGCGCAGTCAAGAAATAGAATGCAGTGTATGCCTTGAACGCGTTCTTTCCAAGTCAACAGCAGCTGAGAGGAAGTTTGGGATCCTTTCTGAGTGTGATCATCCATTTTGTGTATCGTGTATAAGGAATTGGCGTGGCAGTTCTTCCTCTGGGATGGATGTTAATTCTGCACTGAGGGCGTGTCCCATATGCAGAAAGCTTTCATATTTTGTCATTCCAAGTGTTATTTGGTACTTCACAAAAGAAGAGAAGGAAGAAATAGTTGACAACTACAAAAACAAACTCAGGTTTATCACTTTCTCTTTCCTTTTCACTACTTATCTTTCATTTTGTTAAACGATCGTAATACTAGCGATGTCATATGAGAGTCAATGTTGAACCTCTAAGAGTCCAGCATATCCATATGATGTGTTGCCCTCAAATGCATGCACAACATATATGCGGATTGTTTGAACCTTTTCTTGTCAACACAATTAGAATTAGTTTAGTTTAGTTGCTGGATGATCACAAGCCATTGTGATTATTGGATACTGAAAATAATTGATTAACATACTTCGAATGATTATTGGATATCAATGGAAGAAAATATTTTAGAGTTATGGTTTTATCGAACAACCTGTTGAATTCTTCAATTAATTCGACTTGTTGATTTATCTTGTACCTTCAAGAATAACATTACTCATAGAATTTCATCAAATATTTACTGGCCCATTTAATTTATTCTAAGCTCTATGTTTCTATGAGATTTCAGGTAAAATAATGAATTAATGATTTCTTGCACTAATTGACTAAGCACGACAATTATATTTATTTGTATCCTTATTTATGAATTGATTCCCTGATGGCTAGGTTCAAGAATGTGCTATTCAATCCTATTGCAATCAAGAAGTTCCTTTTTATAGTCAACTCAAGATTCATAGGTAGTATCTAATTGTTGGCCAGACAATCAACTAATTAAACTCCGGATATGAATAAACAAACCAATATGATAAATTAAACCTGTCTAATTAACATTTGTGTATCAACATTAAGGCAGGACCATAGCTCTAGAATTAGAGAATTTAGCTACACATCGTCATGGTAGAAAACTGGAACAAAACTCGAATATATCTCAAATATATAAAAATCAATAAAAGAAGGGAAAAAGAAGAGCTCTAGATGAATCCCAAGCTTTACAAGCTCTTATTAGATGGCTTCCTCCACTATTACTATTGTGCCAGATGACCTAAAAGATGTGTTCTCAGCTTTTATATGTGGTACAGAAGTCGTGGGTCAAGCTTAACAGTGTCTCAGCTTTTGTTGTGGTGTTTCATGTACTCAGAAGTCAATTAACAATTCAATAATAAACTCATTAAACAGTGTCATCAAATATTTATGTTCGGGAGGCTTTCAAGAACGAGTCTTGTAATCAGTGTGGCTACCTACTTGGTATTTCTTTCTTTCCAAATTGCCCAAAAAAACAAGCTGGGACAATTCTCTATCTTCCTCTGCCTTTGCCTCACATCCCATCTCTTCCCAACTTGCTCATGTTTGAGAAATCTTGCGAAACATTATTCAAGTGATGCCACTAAGATTAAGAACATCCTCCATATATGCTCTGTTGTCTTACAATTGAGAAAAATAAGGTTCACCATATCTGATGTTTCCCCTACACAAACAACATCTGGGACAAAGAGTAATCCCTCTTTCATCAAGTTATCCTGAGTAAGTACAACTTCCTTTGCCAGACTTCAAACAAAACTAGAAACTTAATATGTTATCTTCTTCCATATGTGCTTCCAGGACCATTCTTCAATATACTGATTTGTTTGGTTCAAAGCTTTATAGGCTATATTAACTTTGTATGCACCACTGTTGTGCCCATTCCACCAAATTCTATTTACCCCTTTCTGTAAGCCACCAAAGCTTCCCAAAAGATTGTTAAATTTAGTCACCCTATTCAGCTCCCCGTTAGTAGGCATTCTTCTAAAGGTAATATCCCATCCCTGGTTTGACCATTGTTCTGCAACTGTTTTATATTGGTGATGTACTAGGTTGAAAATTTCACAAAATCTGTCTAATAGGCTTTCTGTTCCAGGCCATACATCCTTCCAAAGCACAGTTTTACTACCATCTGCAACTTAAATGGAAGAGTGGTTCTTCGAATCAGGCCATTGGACCTGATAGATCTCTACAAACTGATCTCAGAAGGGGTATTGACCTCATTGGTCATCCACCTGTCCTCTTTGTCATATTCTGTTTTGATGGCTCTTCCTCATAATATATGATCTTCTTGTGTGTATTTCCTAGGCCATTTAATTTTTAAAGCCTAGTTCTAAAACTCTAAGTCTCTGATTCCCAGTCCTCCCTCCTTCTTGCTCACTGATGAGGCCTTCCATTTAACCAAATGAAAAGTATCTTCTCCTTATTTCCTTGCCACCAAAAAGGATGTTCTAATGATGTCTAGTCTTTTAATAACTCCAATGGCAATTGGAAACAAATATATTATGTAGAGGAGGGCATCTAAGACAGAGTTGATAAGTATGACTCTTCCTCCCAGGAACAAATATTGGGACTTGCACCTAGTTATTTTCTTCTCACACTTCGCAATAACACCATTCCAAATTTTGGATTTTTCTCCTTAAGGCGTACCATGATATACAGTGGGCAGGGACCCAACTTCTCCTTCCCAACATTGATGCTAGGAACTCCATATCAGTAACCTCATTATTTGGGAAGAAGGAGCTCTTCCTCCAATTGATGGGAACACCTAAACACATTCAAAGAGAACCAAAATCACCCTCAGGTGCATAAGTTGTTTTACATTTGCAGCATAGAAGATAAGGGTGTCATCTGCTAAGTTGCTCAGATGTGGGTGTCCCATATGGGTGCGGATCTAGATGTCGAATCCTTCATGATCTAATTTTTAAGATTTGGGGATTGGATCCATGTACGTATACGGCTTGTGGGGATTCTCCTAAAAATAATTAAATTATCTTAATATAGAGTTATAAAACCTAAATTATGAGATATTATGTGGAGAACTTATGGTGAATCTTGGTAGGAGATTAAAGGAAAAAGAGTGACATAGAAATTTCTATATAAAAGGTATTCCATTTTCTTCAATTTCACCTTAGCTTTTTGTATTGATTATGGGAATATTAAAATTGTCTAGACTTTCCCCATCGATTTTGGTCAAAGTACCCAAAATTTGTTTACCAAATCGGACACGGATTCCACACCCACACCCATGTTGTGTCGACACGGGTGCGGCACCAAAAGTGAAGAGTCCGAGCAACTTTGGTCATAAATGTGTGATTGCCATGTTGCTGTTGTCACTCCTAGCCATTAAATTCCATTAATCCAGCCATTGTACTTTTCTGTTTTCACCATGTTAATACCTTCTGTAGTTTGAGCTTTGGAGAAACCAGCAGGCAAACCATTTGTACGGACAGATAACATACTGTTAAAATGCATTGTTGAATCCAATCGATCCATTTGAGTCAAAATGCCATCCCTTTTAGAATATCAAGCAAGAACTCCTAGTTGGCATGATCATATGTCTTTTCAATGCGAAGCTCATGTTTTTTCTGTCTGATATTTGAGCTGGGCGTTAAATATCCCTTGTTGGGCTTGCATAAAACACCAGGTTGCTTAACCTATTTTACATCCGGCTTCAAGGCTGTAGCAATTAGCAAACCGCTGGTGACCCTTTGACTGCAACAATTAGAATTTAAAATATTACATAAAGGGGATTCAACATATCTTTTTCCTTGTCACTGGATTAGTGAATTCCTTCTCTCGAGAGCTGAAGTTCTTTTACAGTCACGTTTTCCTAGATTACTCTCCAAAGTAATAACTAACATCCTTAATTTTCATATCATGAAAGTTTTCTTCAATTTTGATGTTCAAGCTTTCAGAATGATACACATGAACATTCAAAGGGTAAACTTAAAAATCTAGCAAGGCAGTAGCTGTCTTGTAATGCGGGATAGTAGTTATATTTATCACATTGATGTGATGCAGCCACTTTTAAATTGAGATGGAGTATATTTATGCTTTGTAAAGCTTTTAACTAGGATGCTTCCATGCCCCAAGCTTCTCTCAATGGGAAAACTGAACAGAAAGCAAAAGATTCTCTGATGTGCCATTTTTTGAAGTGATTCCTTTTTAATTCTTGTTTTCAGATCTATTGATTGCAAGCACTTTGACTTTGGGAATGGGACTTGTCCATTTGGGACTAGCTGTTTCTACAAGGTAAGAAGTGTTAAGATGCCTGATAATAGTTGGAATTTTATTTATTTTTAATTAGTAACAGTTTATTGCTGCGGAATAGATCTTTTCTACGTAAATTACATCATTGTACGTGAAGCAACAAAAATACACTTCTATAACAACAATCACACATTAGTCGCAAACAAGTTAGGCCAGCTTTCTGACTTCCCAAAATTTTCATTTATGCTCGCGTCATATCATCATCTATCGTGGTTGTGGAGGAACACGCTCTACACTTCAAAACTAGCTGTGAAACATAAATGTTTATCTATTAAAAACCCATGTAAATCAACATACATGAATTCTTTGGGGGTCGTTTGGTTGGAAACAAGTTATCCTAGGATAATTATCACGGGATAACTTATCCTACCATGTAATTGGGATAGCTTATCCCATCACTATGATATAAATGGTGGGATAAGTTATCCCAAACATGACAACCAAACAAGATACAATTTTTTTTATCCCATCACTATTATTTTTAATCCCTCACACCAAACTAGCCCTTAGTATTATACTAGCATGTAAAAAATACATATAATATTATACTAGCATACCGTATGTACAAATATCATACCTCAGATATAGAAAGTCATACACATTTTAGTAGAAATAACATTAACTATATATTATCTAGTATCTGCATATATGCACATCACTTCACATACATTGTACCCCACTAACCAGTTCTAGCTTGGGAAACTTTTTCCCATTGATTTCGAAGTCTTTAACTTTCCTCTTCCACAACTTTACCGTGTCTTGAAATCCCTTAAGCGACTCCAATCTATTCAAAAGAATTCTCAAATGATGTGGAGTTCGAAAAAGTAAGGAAGACTATTGAATCTTGTATACTTGAACTAGAGATGTGTATAATGTACCAAAATGTCTTTTTGAAGATATTGATATCAAAGGGTTACTAAATATAGAAAATGACATTCTTAAGGAGAGTAAGACACATAAGTTAAAACAGATTTTGAAATAGTAATAATAGGTGTGAATGTAATCAAAGGTTTCACGAAAGATGCTTTTCAACAACTTGTACCTACTTTTCAACTATGTTATTTTCGTCTCTTAAACAAAAATAAGGGGATGAAACAAAACAAAAAAACAGAGTGTCTAGAAGGAATTTCAATGGTTGGGAAATCGAGACCGTGACTGATTTATTTTGGAAGGTTGGAAGCTTTTACAGAAACAAGGGATGAACATGATAGATTATGGTAGATCAGAAATAAGAAAGGCACATTCAAGGTTAACTCTGCATATAAGTTGCTAAATCAAGATGGACAACAACCTTCTCTTTGGCCTTGGAAGCAGATTTGGAAACCTAAAATCCCTTTCAAGGTGTCATGTTTCACTTGGCTTCTGGCAAGAGAAGCAATTTTAACACATGAAAATCTCAAGAAAAGGAAGTTTTCCATGTGTTCTAGATGCTATTTATGTGGGGAAGAAGTTGAGACAGTCAATCATCTGTTTCTCCAGTGTAGAATAACATCCCAGCTATGGATGATTTTCATTAGGCTCAGGGGTTCTGCTTGGGCTATGCCTAACAGAATCATGCATCTTTTATACAGTTGGGGAGAAGTAGGGATGGGAGCTGCAGATAGAGATAGATGGAGGATTGTCCCAGCCTGTATTTGGTGGACTGTTTGGAAAGAAAGAAATGCTAGATGTTTTGAGAGCAAGAATTGTGATCTCCAAAAGATCAAACTAAATTGTATCAGGCCTTTTTGTTTCTTGTGCAAGCTAGTGTATTTAGAGAACACTGAATCCATTATAGATATCCTAGGTTCCTGTTAGGATTCAGATTCAATTTTTTCTTTTACTTTGTGACAAGCTGTAAATATGGTTTGGTGCAACCCAAGCACTGGTTTCAATGAATATACACAATGTTACCTTCTTAAAAAAAAAGGAGCGGGGGGGGGGGGGGGGGGGAGAAACTCAAAACTTTATAAGAACAATGAAATCGAGAAACTGCTCCAAAATTTTCAATGGACGAATAAGGCTTTGTCGGAGCAGAGGTGATAGGGTGGTGTAGAGTAGCCAAGTGAGCTTTAAGTGTTTTTTGATCGAAAGCTGGAGAAGCTTCACGTGTTGGTGCGTAAGATGGTGGTGAGGGTGAGAGTATCTAGGGGCATGTAAAATCTCATGTGCGTCTGTCGGTTGTGTGTTTCTTGAGACCTCAGGAGGATGGGTGAGCTAATTTCTTTTAAATTGACCTTTGGATCTTAGCTGAAAACTGAGAATTGACATCTCATCCTCGTTTAACCAATTCCCTTTACTCTTTTTTTTCTTTAGTTTCTTGAGTAGAAAAAGAATTAGAGAAGAAGAAACTGTCAGAGTAAAGGCTAAAGTCCTTGGCTCTGATACAAACTACAACATCATACCCAATGTAATCCACAAGTGTGTCTAAAGAGGGTAAAGTGTATGCAAACCCCATTCCTACCTCATGGAGGTGGAGAGGTTCTGTTTGAAAGACCCTTGGCTCAAGTGCTTTAAATCAAAATGAAGGAGGAATATGACAATAGAGTAATCAAGTCAATTAATGTGGAAAGCAGGATTGGCATCCATAGAAAGAACAATAACAACAAAATACAGTAGTAATTGAAACACTATAAACAAGATGTTGACAACTATCAAACGTAAAAAACTACATGTAGTCATGTACAATGCTAATACTACAACATACATGGTGCTTCTAGACTCCCACCAAGCAAAATATTGCTGAAAAATGGGACAGAGCTCAACTACCTACTAATTTTCTACCATCAATGACCTCCATATGCTTCTATCTAAGGTCATGTACTTTGTAAGATGAACCAGTGCCTTGTTCTTCCTAATTATGTCTCTCCAATACAGTGCCATGTTCTTCCTAATTATCTCTCTCCAATACTTCTTCGGCCTACCTTTAACTCTTCTCATACCTTAATATATCCAACCTCTCACACCTCCTCACTAGGCATCTAGACCTCTTCTCTTTACATTCCCAAACCATCTCAAACTCACTTCCCGCATCTTGTACACTACAAAGGTCACTCCCACCTTGTCCTAATATCTTTATTCTTGATCTTTTCTCTTCTAGTATGCCTATACATCAATCTTAACATCCTCATTTTTGCAACTTGCATCTTTTGAACAGGAGAGTCCTTGATAGACAAACACTTTATCAAGAAAGTAGGTCGCCTAACCACCACTCCGTAGAGCTTATCTTAAGTTTTGGTGTCCTTTTTACCACACAAGATTCCCGAGGCGAGGCTCCATTTTATCCAACCGCACCAATACGATGTGTGGCATCATCGTCAATCTCCCTTGGATTAAAGACCCATGATACTTGAAAACGACTCTCTTGGGGATGACCTGCAACCAGTGCCTTATGATGAAGTGGCTATGAAGATTTTCTTCCGATGAGCAAGCTCTGTGGAAAGATGTAATACAAGCCAAATATGAAATGGAGGATCTCTGGATAACTAAAATGGTCACTAGCACTTACAGGTCAAGCCATTGGAGAGCCATCAAAAACCATTGGCCAAAACTCACAGGAAACTGCAATATTAAATTGGGTAATGGAGCCTCTTCTAGGGAAGATAGAAGGCTTGAACAAGGATCTTTAAAAACCTTGTCCCCGGATATTTTCACCCTAAACCAGAGCAGTAAAGGGACACTCTGGTAGAGATGTGGTCAAACAAAGGGTGAAATCTGAGTTATAGAAGACCTCTAAATGACTGGGAGATCCAAGGTTGGTTGAGTTTTACAAGGTCTTGGGGCAGTTCAAAGGAACTATTGATGAACAAGATAGTTTGGGATGGCAGGATCATAATCAGGACAATTTCAGTGTTAGAAGAGCGTAGAAAAAGTTTAATTCTTGTAACTGTCAGAGGAATGGGTGGCCATAAAAGCTAATATGGAAAACTGAAACCCCTTACAAAGTACTTGTTTTACTTGGCTCCTTGCTAAGCAGACAGTTTTGACCCAGGAAAATCTTATGAAAAGAAATATTCAACTGATACCTAGGTGCCTTCTGTATGGTGAAGAAGTACAGACTACTAACATTTTGTGGAATGTTTTTATCAATCTGAAGGGCATGAAATGGGTTATGCCTAGGAAACTTACGCAGACTCTGAAGATTAGCAAGGCGTTTTGACCCAGGAAAATCTTATGAAAAGAAATATTCAACTGAGTTCTAGGTGCCTTCTATGTGGTGAAGAAGAAGTAGAGACTACTAACATTTTGTGGAATGTTTTTATCAATCTGAAGGGGGTGAAATAGGTTATGCCTAGGAAACTAACGCAGACTCTGAAGATATGGAGCAGTTGTGCAAGCATTATTGGGCTTAAAAAAAGATGGAAAATCATTCAGCTTGCAACTGGTGCTCTGTGTGGAGAGTAAGAAATCTCAGATGCATCCAAAACATGAGTAATTCCATCCAGAAGATTAAGATGAACTGTACTTTTGTTTCTATTTTGGTGTAAACAGGAGTACATGGTAGATCTAGTATCAGTTACAGATGTTTTAGGTTTCTTGTAGATTTTGCTATAGGATTAAAGATCTTCCTGCTACTCTTCACAAATGTAATTAGGAACCTGTAATTTGTTGTGGCAGGTTATGGTTTTTTGTTTTGGAATAGAATACAAGTTGTTACCTTCTTAAAAAAAAGAAGCTAAAAGCAACTTGGACGAAAAAATGAGTTACTTAGACAAATTTTTTTTGTCGATAACCTCAGACTAATCAATCAAATATTGATTAATACGTGATATCATGTAAAGAAATAAGAGATTTAAGAATTAATGGCTTGATCATTCCCTCGAGCATATTGGGGTCTTTAAACAGGAAGGAATGTAATACCTAGTAATTCCTATGTCTATTTGCATAATTATCGTGACTCTAAACCTTTCTTATACATACAAGGAAACGGCTCTTGCCATTTTAATGATTTTATAATTATTAACACTCTCCCCAGATCATTAAGAACTTCCTTCTTGTCTGTTGAGACAATGACCTTTTTGCTAGGCGTTAGAATTCTGATAGAATGATTTCAAAGTAGGATGTTGATGTAGTTAACCTTTGTAGGTCTGGGTTGCTGCGTCTAACATTTTCAAGTTTGGAATTTTGAATCTGATGTGTCCAAAGATATTAATATAATGTGATCTTCAAAACATATGACACATCAGCGTTTTGTGAGATTCATGCTTATTAGTTTCAGCCTAGCTACATTTTCTTTACTTTTCCAGTCTGACTTGATAATAGTTCATCCCAAGTCTGTTGATTTTTCGAATGTTTAGTTTCCACTGGTAATATTGAATAACAAGAAGTGGAAAGTTTAGTTTTTTATGTTCCCATGCAAATCAAATGCAATTCACCTTCACACAAATCGCAGGATAAGTTCTCTCCTGAAAGGAGATTCTTGATCAAATTTAGACATTTCTTTGCTCAAGAATAGTGATATTACATCATGTTAGCAATGTTTCTACTTTATATTTCCCATCTTTCGTCTTTGTTCACATTTTGAAATTTTTGTTTAAGATGCTTATTATGGACATTGTGATCTCCTATTGCAGCATCAACACCGTGATGGTCGTGTGGAGGAAGTGGTACTACGCCATCTTGGCTCTGAAGATGGAAGCACAGTAATCGCTAAAAATATCAGGTCATATGTCCTTGAACTTTTATTTCTTCATGATTTGACAACTCACTCTCTTACATGGTGTTATACTTTGCTTTGGTTTATGATCATCATTTGATTCGCTCTTCTATGTTGCTGGTTTCCTCAGGCTCTCGGACTTCCTTAGGAATTTCGAAATTAGGTGAACAGTTTCTTTTAGTAATTTCAAGGTATGTTCAAATCACCCTGTTTGCTTTTTCTCTTTTGTATTGGTGGCATTTTTGCCCAATTAATGGATTTATTTGGTGTGATATCTTTTTTGAGACGGGAAAAAAAAGAGACTATAGAGCTCCTTTTGAAATGAAAATTGAATCAGTAATTAAAATGTTTTTTGGGGCTTACCTCGATCAGTAATTCCTCCTACCAATCCACTATTTAATGTTCTTCGAATTTTTGTTCATGATCGATCTAAGTTAATACATTGTTTGATGATCAACTTTAAAATTGATGTATATGGGGTTATGATCTAAATGAACATTTCTTCATGTCTCGAAAGCTAATTAATTCACTCGAAGGCAATGCTTATTTCAATTGCTATCTTCTCCCTTCACGATGATCAGCAATTGCGAACATTATGTTATATGCAAGAGTTCTTTATAACACTTTGTAAGTGAGCTTTGGTTTCATGGTTGAGTTTCCTTCACTGGCTGCTTTTATTGTTGAGTTGAAAGCACTTCATCATGCAACTCAAGTTCTGAATAGACTAAGCAGTCGATTGCAACTATAATTGGATGTGAATCCATGTCGAATCCCGCAAGGAGCAATGTCTATATATATATATATATATATAAATAATAATCTACTTAATATGTCTAATGCATCTATTAACTTACAATTAAAGAGGACAATGAAATTTTTCTACATAAATGATATTTTTATTGTTCTAATGGAGTATGAAGAATTGTAACGGTTGTCAATAACTTATTACAATCAAATAAAAAGTATAAAATAGGAGAGCACATAATATGAAAGCAACCAATATAATTTAAATTCATTGCAAAAAATAAAAATAAAAATAACTACCTTATGCAAATCAAGATTTTTGATTTGTCTATACAAACGAAGTTATGCATGAGACCACATAATCGAAAAGTAAGTTGACGAAATGGAAGAATTATTGCAATAGAAGATATACTACTTCAGGTAATTGAATTTTTGAAAAGTTTTATTGCCTCAAATAAATAAAAAATTTATATGTTTGTACAAATGAAGTCAGACAAGAGGATATGAAAGTAAATTAGATATGAAGGTAAATTAACAAAATTGAAGAATCATTCCACAAGAAGATTGCTTCAGGTAAATTAAAATTTTGATTTGTTATATAAATGAATTCATTAGAATATACTTGTGCAAGTTTAATCATTTTATGCCAACGAAAATTATATCAACGGATCTATCAAAATTGTACAACGGAATTTTATATAGAAACCAATATATCAAAGATCGAGAAACATCTAAATATCCTATAATATTCAGTTTGTAAATTGTAAAAATAATGTCTGAAGTATGTTTTTCTAATTTTATTCTTTTTTTTCACAAATGAAAAGTGAATAAAAAGATGAGGCAAGAAATATCAAGATTAAAAAAAAGAAGATATTAGTAAATTTTTTCTAATAGTATAGAATAAATTTAGTGTGATATAATTAGAAAAAAAAATAAAGAGATGAGCCAGGACATTGCAACTTGCAAGATAAAAGGAAGAAGATATATAATAGTGGACTGAGTAAACAATAAAAGGGAGGTAAAGAAAAAAGGAAAGAATTTTTTTAAGTTAACTACATACAATAAAATAAACACAAGAAATATATATATATATATATATATATATTAATATCATATTATAAATACAAGTAAATTATATTATATTAAGTAAAAAATGAAAGGAAGATCAAGAAGAAAAAAGAGAATTTTTTGTAAGTAACTAAAATAAAAGTAAACACGATTTTTTTGTAAGTAACTAAAATAAAAATAAACACAAGAAAGGAAAAGAAAACGTTAGTTTTTTTTATGTTTTTCGTTAACTACTTCTCTCTCTTTCTTCTTTATTATATAACATTTTAAATAGAAAAAAATTTATAAATATATATATTGAACTTTCAAAGAATATATATATATATATATATATATATATATATATCCAAAAGTATTAATTACCCCCCTGAACTTGAAGCTTTTTATTCAGTATATACCTAAACTTTATTTTGTTTCAATTACCCCCCTGAACTTGCTTATTCATCCTACACGTACACCTTTTCTGTCCACCTAGCATAAAAACTGAAATCAAACTCTACAAGGCGCATGAGACAACAATTTTTTGCCACATCATAAAGTTACAACGGTAATATACATAAAAATCTATTTTTTTTTAATATTTGGGTTATTTTAAGAATTTTTCTCTCTCTATTCTCTACGTATTTATTCTTCTTTATCCCTTCTCCCTTTTCAAATTTCTTTCTCACTTTTTTTGTTTTAATTGTTATTGCTAAATTCATGAACAATAACTGGAGACTTGTTTGTTTATGTGGGGCTCCTTCAATTCTGAAAAATTTCATGAACAAACGACAATCCTGGACGTAAATTTTTCGGTTGTAGACACTATAGGGTATGTATTGTTACTCCTTTTTGCTTTTTATTTCACAAGTTCGTATTATGCAATTTCATTTTTTTAACTTTGATTTTATGAAATGCAGTCCTCATTTCGAAATTCTTGTAAGTTTTTCGATTGGTATGATCCTGAATTTCCGACCCAAGCGAATATTGTAATTTTGGGTTTGTTGAAGAAAACCAACAAACAAGAAGAACAGCTCAAGTGCAAATGGATATTGAAACTGATTTTGGGTATTAGTTTGATATGCAATGTGATATTGTTCTTTTATTTAGTGTGTCGATTTTTTTTAAGGCAATTTTTATGAAGGCAAAATCATTTGGCTCTAGGGTACTCATTTTGTGGATTAGTTTGGTTTGGTGTTCTATTAATGTATGTTTTTGCTGTTTTTGCTGATCAATCTACAATTACATGTAATAGGTACTATGATCCCATGAAATAATAACATGAAGGCAACAAACATAACATAACTAGTGCTTTCTTGATCATAAAAAAGAAGCATCATAGTGTTTCATTGTTTAAACCAACAACCACAATAACTTAATTTAACTAGCAAAACATAAAACAATCACTACTTTAAGGTTAGTTGAACAACCACAGAAGCACCAAAACACTAAACAGTAACTACTTTAAGTTTGTTTGAACAACCACAGATTCATCAACACATAAAACACTATTTCAAGTTTGGTTGGACACCCACACAACCACACAACTAAGAAGTTTTCTTTGAGAGTGATTTTCCTTTGGCTTGTGACCTTGTTTGAATGCCATCAACTTTTGATCTGGTTTGAGTACGACGCATAACACTTTCGACTTGAAGTTCTCTTTGAGTCATGGCCTCTTTGCCTTTCCACTTCAGTCCCTTGGTAGTTTAAAACCAATATCACCTATCACATGTGCAGAACTCATCGCACCAGTATTAACCCTCCTTCTACTAGACAATCCTTGCTCCAATATCAACTACATAGTTATTTTGGGACTCACATTTAGAAGACAAATATAATTTTGACAGTTTATAAGACACTTACATTAATACACGTATATCCAGTATCAACAACAAATACACCTTGTCCAACAACTTTAGGCCTCTTCTTGTAACCACTTCCTGCACCTCTCTTTGTACCAGTCTTACTGGTGCTTGCTCTTTCATAATGACCTCTACCCCTCTTTTTTCCAATGGTGGACTAATATGAGTGGAAAAAGAACACAACAAGACATTAAATTTAATAAGTAATCTAACATAATTTATAACAACAAATCAATATGAATGTACCTCTTGAGTGGGTGTTGGTGTAGACTTAGGTTTAGGATTTTTTGGACAATTTCTCTTGTTATGATTTGGTCCTTTGCAAAGTGAACATGTCATTACTATCCCTATTCTTTGCAACTTTCCAGCTTTTCTCACTTCACCAATTTCTCTTCTTCTGTTCTTTGGTGGCCTACCAGGCATTTGTCTTGCCTCAGGTGGTTCAACCATTGGGTTTCTACTTTCAGGCCACATTTCCATGTTTGGGACTGGTTAAATGAAATGAGAATATGTCTTCATATATGTGTCTTTTCTATACCAACTAGATATTGCCTGTGATGCATCCATGTTCAAGTGGTTCATTGCTGCTATACCATGTGCACATGGGATACCTTTTAATTCCCATGATCTGCAACTACATTTTTGTTGACCCAAGTTCACAGTATGCTTGTATACCCCTTCTAACACTTTAAATCCAACATCACCATTCCATTCAATATTGCACTGCATTGATCTTGTTACATTTGTATTGGATACCATCATTGCCACTGGAGAAATTCCATCTGTCCATTTTCAAGGTCAAAGAAGCCCCAAAGCACGCATATTCCCCATTTCGATAATTTTCATGTGCTATAGCACACCATTTTTTGGTGATTCTGATTTCGACGTCAAAAATGTTGAAATGTTTTGTAAACGTCCGTCAAGACTTTGGCTATGCATCCACTTGGACCTCACGGCTAGTCCGATCTATATTCAAGGTCAAAGGAGCCCCTAAGCTCGCATAACCCCCATTACGAAGATTTTAATGTGCCATAGCACACTTTTTTTGGTGATGCAGATTCTGACGTAAAAAATGTCATATTATTTTGTAGACGTCCATCAAGACCTTGTCTATACAGACGGTTGTCCCTCACGAACAGTCCGACCCCATTTTCAAAGTCAAACAAGCCCTAAAATGCACATACCCCCATTTTTGATGATTTTTGTGTGCTTTAGAGCACCAATTTTTTGGTGAATAGGATTTCGAGGTAAAAATGCTTAATTGTTTTGTGGACGTTTGACATGACATTGTGTATTCATCCGGTTGTCCCTTACGGCAATTTCGACCCATTTTCAAGGTCAAACGAGCCCGAAAGTGCGCATACCCCCCTTTTGACAATTTTCGTGTGTTATACCACAAAACTTTTTTTGGTGATACGAATTCCAACGTAAAAAATGTCAAAATTTTTTGTGGACGTCCATCAGGACATTGGCCATGAAAATTTATTGTCCATACGACGATTACAACTTATTTCAAGGTCAAACGAGTCCCCAAGCACGCATGCCCCTCATTTCTAGGATTTCGTGTGCTATAGATGAGATTTTTTTGGGTGATCCAGATTCCGACGTTAAAAGTACCAAAATGATTTGTAGACGTCCGTAAAGACCTTGGCTATGCAGCCGGTTGTCCCTCACGTCCAGTCCGACCCATTTTCAAGGTCAATCGAGCCACGAAGCGCGCATACCCCCTTTCCGATAATTTTTGTGTGCTATAACACAACATTTTTTTGGTAATCTGGATTCCAACATTGAAAAATGCCAAAGTTTATTGTGGACGTCCGTCAAGACCTTATCTATGCAGCCTGTTTATCCATCAAGGCCAGTCCGACCCATTTTTATTATGAAATGAGTCCTGAAGCGCACAACCCCCCATTTCAACGATTTTTGTGTTCTATAGCACACCAACTTTTTGGTGATTCGGTTTTTGACGTAAAAAAACCAACTCTTTTGTAAACGTCCTTCAAGACTTTGACTATGCATCCGGTTAGACCTCTCGGCCAGTTTGACCCGATTTCAACGTCAAAGAACCACGAAGCGCGGATACCCCCTATTTCGATGATTTCATTTGGTATAACACACCTTTTTTTGGTGATATGGATTCCGACGTCAAAATGCTGCAATTTTTTCAGGACGTCGGTGAAGACATTGTCTATGCAGACGGTTGGCCCTCACGGCTAGTCCGACACATTTTCAAGGTTAAATGAGCTCCGAAGCGCGCAAACCCACCATTTTGAAGATTTTTGTGTGCTTTAGAGCACCAATTTTTTAGTGATCTGGATTTCGACGTAAAAAATGCTAATTTTTTTGTGGACGTCTTTCATGAACTTGTCTATTCAGCCAATTGGCCCATATAGAAATTCTGACCCATTTTTTTTGATGATTTTCATGTGCTATAGCAGACCATTTTTTAGGTGATATGGATTCCAACGTCAAGAATGGCAAAAAATTTTGTGGACGTCTGTCAAGACCTTGGCAAATGAAACTTACTGGCCCTCACGGCAATTCATACCCATTTCCAGGTCAAACGAGCCCCGAAGCGCTCATGCCACTCATTTCTACAATTTTCGTGTTCTATAACAAAACAATTTTTTGGTGATCTGGATTTTGACGTAAAAAATACAAAAGCTTTTTGTGGACGTTCGTCAAGACTTTGTCTATTCAGCCGGTGTCCCTCACGGCCAGTCCGACACATATTCAAGGTCAAACGAGCCCTGAAGCATGCATACCCCCCATTTCGATGATTTTCGCGTGATAATATCACACCTTTTTTTTGTGATCCAGATTGCGACATCAAAAATACTGAATTTTTTTGTAAACGTCAATCAAGACCTTATCTATGCAGACGGTTGGCTCTTACAGACAGTCCAACACATTTTCAAGGTCAAACGAGCTTCGAAGCGCGCATACCCACCATTTTGATAATTTTCGTGTCCTATAGCACACTATTTTTTTGGTGATCCAAATTTTGATGTCCAAAATGCCAAAAGTATTTGACGACGTTCGTCATGACCTTGGATAAGCAGCCGGTTGGCGTTCAGTGCTAATCCAACCCAATTTCAAGGTCAATTGATCCTTCAAGCACGCCTAGCTCCAATTTCAACAATTTTCATGTGCTATAGCACACAATTTTTTGGTGATTTAGATTTTAACGTCCAAAATGCTGAAATTTTTTTTGGATGTCCTTCATGATTTTGGCTATGCAGACGGTTTTCTCTCACGGCCAGTACGACCCGTTTTCAAGGTCAAACAAGTCGCGAAGCACACATATCCCCAATTTCGACGATTTTCGTGTGCTATAGCACACCATTTTTTTGGTGATACGTATTTCGAATAAAAAATGTTGAAATTTTTTGCGGATGTCTGTCAAGACCTTTTCTATGCAGTCGGTTGGCCCTCACGGCCAATACATCCCATTTTCAACGTCAAACAAGCATCAAAGCGCGCATACCCCCCTATATCGATATTTTTTTGGTGATCCGAATTTCGACGTTAACAATGCAATTTTTTTTTGTAAATATCCTTCAAGACTTTGGCTATGCATCCGGCTGTCCCTCACGGCCAGTTTGACCCTTTTGCAAGGTCAATCGATTCCGGAAGCGCGCATACCCCCTATTTCGATGATTTTCGTGTGCTATAATACACAATTTTGTCGGTGATCTAGATTCCTACATCAAAATGCCAAAAGTTTTTGTGAACGTCTGTCAAGAACTTGTCTATGCAGCCTGTAATCCCTCACGGCTAGTCTGACCGTTTTCAAGGTTAAACGAGCCACGAAGCATGCATACCCTCTATTTTGATGATTTTCATGTGCTATAGCGCAACATTTTTTGGTGATCCAGCTTTCGACGTCAAAAATGCGAATTTTTTTTGTTGACGTCCGTGAAGACCTTGGTTGTGCAACCAGGTGCCCTCACGTTTAGTCCCACCCATTTTTAAGGTCAAACGTGTTATGAATTCCGCATACCTCCTATTTCGATGATTTTCGTGAACTATAGCACACCATTTTTTGTGATACAGATTCAAACGTCAAAAAATGTCAAAATTTTTTGTGGACGTCCGTCAAGATCTTTGCTATGCAGATGGTTAGACCTCACGGCAGTCCGACCCATTTTCAAGGTAAACGAGTCCCGAAGCGTGCATATCCTAATTTCGACGATTTTCATGTGTTATAACATACAATTTTTTTGGTGATCCAGATTCTGACGTCAAAAATGCAAAAACATTTAGTGGACGTCCGTCATGACCTTTGAAATACAGCGGGTTGGCCCTCACGGCCAGTTCGACCAATTTTTAAGGTCAAAAAAAGCTGCAAAAAGAGCATATCCCCATTTTGA